GAACTTGTTTTGGCCTTCTCCATCTGTTGTTAATGACACATTGTTTTAAAAAATATATATTTGGAGTGGTGAATCTGCAACTTTTATTATCGTTTCCTGCATTTCTGACAGGCCAGACTAAAACTGGATTTACAATAGTAACTTAAATTGATTAACATATTATCAACTGATTCAGCTGTAAATCAGAAATCCTTTATTTGTCACACTCTGGGAACATTTTGGGTGAAGGGACTGCAGGTAAAAGGAAAAAATAAAATAATTTGGCAAAAATATTGAATAAAGAGGCAAGCAACATTTGTTTAGCCAGGATGTCAAAAATCCTGCTGCTGACCTCAAGCCAAATTAACTTTTCAAGCTCTTACCTTCTTGAGGAGAGGCAACAGAAACTGTTATTATTGGCTTTTAAAAGATATAAACTCTTAAATTGTGCCTTCAAATAAATTAGCACTTTAACGCTCATGTTTGGCCTACTATGATAACCCACAGTGACTCATTTTCTCTTCCCTTGTCTATTCATACATCCTCTTCATTTCTATTTCTGATTGTCCTGTTTCTGTTTACCAAACCGGACATGCTACTTTCTATTTTTGATTGGCGGTGTGTGTGTGTGTGTGTGTGTGTGTGTGTGTGTGTGTGTGTGTGTGTGTGTGTGTGTGTGTGTGTGTGGAGTTGGATCTGGATCTGGCAGAGAGCATCTTCCTCTAGTGGAGTGGCCTGAGGGGATTTCTTTCATGAAGTCAGATAACATCCAGGCGACCCCCTCTTCCCTTTTTTATAAGAGTTCTTTAACCTTGATAAATGAAGTAGAGGCGGGGAGGGAGTGAGAGAAGGAGGAAAAAGTTGTGGCGCTGTGGTGGGGGATGCGGGTGTGTGGAAGATAGAGGGAGAGACACCAACTCCCTGGCCGGCTCGCTCTCAGGATCAATAACGTTCGGAGAGCTGCTGAGCACTCCTGTCTGGCAGCTCTACCATAGGGGATGGAAGGAGCGGAGGGAGGGAAAGGGGAGGAAAGCAGGGAGGGAAAGCAAGAAAATAAGTGTTGAGAAGGCCTCTCCATCTCCTTCTTGTCACCCTTTTTTGTGAAGAGAGGGAATCGAGGCGGACAGCATAGTAAAGATGGAAGGATGAAGGGATAGAGGAGAGCATAGATGGAGGAGAGTTTAGAGCCGTGCCACCCACCTGCCTGCCAGGAAAACACACACACGCACACACACACACACACACACACACACACACACACACACGTCACACACACACTCATACTCGGGTATCCTTTTACGGAGCCACAAGGTTACAGAGTGTCGATACAACCGCGCAAAGTCCTCCGACAAATGGGATTTGGCATGTTCAATCAACAGTGCTGCCAAATCCCTGTTGTTAAGTATTGCAGAGCCATATCTGTCTGCAACGGGCTGAGCTATGCTACCTGGGGCCGCTAACTGTCCCCTAAATATCCTCTATTACAGTCCTCTGTAATAGAATTATCTGCTGCATTTCTCATTGGATTTGAATAGGTGTGTGTGCTGTGGCATAAATAGGGAACAGAGAGAGGGGTTTCACATGGTGCGCTTGTTATAAGAAAAGGCCTCTTCCACCAGTGCCTTGAGGTCATGGATACCTGAGCTGTCTTCGCCCCCCCCCCTGTTTCTCGCTCTTTTACTTGATTTCCTTGCTTTGAGTTTAAGTCGCTGTTCTCCCTCCTCTGTCCTTTTTCCTGTCCTCTGTTAGACCGGATCCTTTCATCTTCCCTCTCCTAATCCTGTGATAGAGAAGCCTTCTGTTCACCCCTTCGCCTCCTACCATTATTCTCTTTTCAACTCCATGCCTCTTCTTATTTTAGCGTATCCCTGTGCTCCTTTGCATCGCTTTTTTACCCTCCACTTTCTTTGTTCTACCCCCCCTATTATCTCCCTTACCTTGATTTCTTCCCAACCTTACTCTCTGTCTCCTGCTTCACCCTTCCTCCTCCTCTCTTACTTTCCCTTGTCCTTAATTAAGTTAGTGATCAGTTGACTGCCCCTATCATTGGTAGAGAGCAGGTTGGTCCTCCCTTCCCAGGAGGGGGGAACATTGTCTGTGCTGGTTGACCGGTGTAATCCCCCCACCAGGGACAAAGGGCCGTACCCTACCTACCTCAGCCACCCCTGAAGGGCATTAGCTCCCTGACGAGAGCCGTGCCCCTGCTGCCTGACACCCAGCATCTCCCCACTGACTTCTTCCTCCTCTGGCCAGGCAGGTTGAGCCCACAGTGCTGAGAGTCAATGCCGATGACTAGGAAACGGGGAACACGTTTTAATGTTTGGTTTGTTTGGCATGTTGCTCTAAGCCAGATTCACCACCAATGTATCAGACATTAAGATGTAGGCCTACGTTATTGGGGTCCCTTGATTTGTATTTCAAACACCCCGTAATCATCACACATAAAAAGGCACACAGAAGTAAATCTGTCGTATTAGGATCAGGAATTCCTGCTCTAATCCTCCTCACAACCCCACAATCTTTTTTCTCTTTTTACACACACACATGAACAGCAAAACACTAGGTACGGTTGCTATGGCAACGGTTGGTCAGAGTTTACCAGAGGGGAAACAAACAAAGTACTGTTCATGAAAGCCGGTTGTGCAGTGCAGAAGGAGCAGTGATACTCGTGTGTGTGTGTGTGTGTGTGTGTGTGTGTGTGTGTGTGTGTGTGTGTGTGTGTGTGTGTGTGTGTGTGTGTGTGTGTGTGTGTGTGTGTGGAGAGTGTGTGTGTGTCATGTCTAGTGAGTGATTAGATACATGCATACTTCACCCTTATATATTTCTGCCCTTTATATCCATACCTTACTGCTACTATATATGCTACTATATATCTGCTAGGTATTCAGTGGGAGGTAGAGGCTCAGTGACTGCAGCTTCCAAAGCCATTTGATGTTATGTCTATAAGCCCGCATATCAAACTTTCATTTTCTGTATACATTTGTGCTTCAACTGATGCACATTTTCATTCCCAATTATTTGTGTGATTAATCACGCACATTTTTTTCCTGTAACATCAGAAAAATGTCTAGAAATGGCCCTCACATATTTATAAAGACCAGGGTGACGTCAACGTGTCGTTACAACCAAATTGCAGACAAAAACATATAGAATTTGTTATAATGTTAAACTCCCAGATCTCAATGGATGCACATTCATTCAGATACCAATGTTGCCACTATATGTGTATTGCTGATATTTGTCTGCCTCATGTCTTAGACTGCTGATTAAACTCTCTCAGTTTCATGCATCTCCTGCCCTCTCCTCTCCTCTGGAAAAGTAGGTCTCGTGGTGTTTGCATGTCATCTCATCCGAGGCACAAACAGCCACCTCCACAGTTCTCATTTTCTCCACTCCTCTCCACTCTCCCTCTTTGAACATAATGCATCCAGGCTCCGAGGCAGCATACAAACCTGCTGTGCTTTTTACCATAAAAATGCCACCATGCCTTCCTCGCTACATCTGTGTCCCCACCCCCTGTAATGCCTCTTTAGCCCTGCACTCGGCTGCTTGGGTTATATTTATTGCGCAGTCCCTTTTTACTTCTAGTTTTGTCCTTTTTATTTTTTCTCGTGCCATGGGGCTAAAGACCCCTAACGCCACCACTCCGTCCTCCCCTCCCTCTCTGCCCTCATTTCCCTCTGCCCCTCACTCCTCAAGCACTGACGAATAGACAAACGTACTGTTCTCTCTTTCTTTGCCTTTCACCTCTCAAACCTCCCTCCATCCATCCTGCTGGACGGGTACAATGCGGGCGCTCTATCCTGCGGCAGGGAGAATGCAGCCCTGAACTAACAATATCACCAAGGCTGCCTGAATGCTGCCGAGTCCCATTGTGCTCTGTCAGAGGGGAGTTAACACCCATGTCTGAGCCCAATGAATAGTATTATTGTGTCTAAGACATGCACCGCACCCCCGGTCCCAATCCATGTCCCCCTAACTCAACTTGCCCCCCCTCTCCCAAACTTGGTTCTCTTGTCCAAGCAGTGTAACCCCCCCATGCCAATCCTGCACCCCCTGTGCTTTTTCCTTAACAGACAGTGCTAACTCCCAAAGCCTTGCTGGCCCACCCGCTCTAAACCTCCGCACTTTACTTCTCTATTCCCCTGGCAGTCGGCCCGTGGGTTTAAGTCTGTTTTTCAGTCCTGCAGAGGAGGTGGAGAGAGGTGGACAGAAGGGCTGTCACAGCTCTGTGGTGGCTGTGGCCAGGATATTTCAGAGATTGTGGGGTTGGTGCGGCGCGGAGCAATGTGGGGTGTTGGGGGTTGAATTTGGCCACGGCTCTTTCCCTGTTGAGGAACACAATGGGACCATGACTCCTCAAAGAAATGTCCCCCCAACTGCTATTATCATAAGAAGAGGGTTGCTGAACCCATTTGAATAATTCTAGATGATACAAAAGCTGAGATGTTTTCTTTGACAAAGTTTCCTTAGAGCACCACCGGTCATGGCCAAAACATTTCCATTCCTTCACACTCACTATGGCGCAAAGAGAGGGGAGTCTTTAAAACAAGCCTGTCAGTTTAAATGTGGCTTTTTGTTTTTTATAACCACTAAGGGCAAATCAATGTACATCTCAGTGGGCTTGTGCGGCCAAGGAGGAGCAAATGAGGGTGGTTGTTGAAGAGAAACTTTTCCTGTAAATATTTCTAATGTATTTGATCGATGCAGTGGTGATTTTTATAATGGGCCCACTCTTGCTATATTTTGCTATCTGCAGCACATCAGAATCTAATAGCTGAGAGTACCTTTGGCAGGCAGCATCTCTCTGCCTGACACACTTAACTCTCAGGCCTCCAATCCCCGCAGTTTCTGCTCTGTGAGGTTAGCGGGTTCACATTACCGGCTGAGAGAGGATGCCAGAATCCTCACCCCCGACTTCTCGCTGATCAAAGACCAGGATTGACATTCAGAGTGTGTAAAATGCTGAAAGTTAACACTAACTTGTTTTTTTCCCTCTGTCTCTGGTTGTTTGTGTACAGAAGAAAGAGGAGGAGGAGGCAGTGGAGGAGGAACAAGAGAAGCAGAGTGGGTGGAAGGATGGAAGGAGAGAAGGATAGAAGCAGTTCGAGGAGGTGGTTGGAAGCGGCTGAACCCAGAGCAGGTGAACACAGCTGTGGATCGCCATGGGCTCTCTGGCTGCCCTCTTCCTGTGGCCCCGGCACTGCATACAAGGGTCCCGTGGAGCCAGCAGGGGCCAGCCAACACTGCGGCAGAGTGGGCAGGCTAGGCCAGGCAAGCCAGGAGAGAGGCAGGTGAGGCGGGTGAGTCGAGCTCTCATCCCCGCCGGCTAGGAGCCTCCACGGCGGAGCGGAGCAACGTGGAGCAGCAGAAATCAATACAGAGGAGAGAGGCTAGCAGAGGTTGCCCAGCACCGCCTGCAGGCCCCGGAGCCCAGGGACCAACCAGCACCACCGCTCACAGCTCCTCTCTCCATCTCTCTTTCTATCTTCCTCCAACAGTCCCAGCATCAGCCAGGGCCAGGGCCCTCACCGCCCCACACGCAGTGTGCGTGTCAGTAGGTGCACATTTGTGTGTAAAATAGAGAGAAAAAGGCAGAGGGAAGAGGCAGAGAGAGAGAGTCTTTGTGTGTGGTTCAGCCGGAGGGGTTTTTGCTGCGTCCAACACCACTTGATAAAACTTTGTCAGAGAGACACTGAGACAGCGAGGGAGGGAGAGAAAACAGAAGAAGAATAAGACAGGACGTTGAAGGTCGCTTTTCTTCCAGCTACCTCCCTCTTATTACCCATTCCACCTGAACTGTTTGATAAGGATCCATTGGGGACGGTACACACGACGTTTCTGCTCAGTCCAACTTCCAAGCACGTAGCGCACAATATTCCTAAGATCTCATGAGCCAGGATGAAAGAACAATTTGAACTTTTTCTCTCATCCCCTGTATCAGACATAACCTGTCTTTTCGCCTTAGATTTTCTTACCCTCACTACAGCAGCTCCCATCAGAGGATATGGCAATGCAGTATTGATCTATAAGGTGGAAGAGAGGAAGGTGGGCCCAGGCTTTCATACCTCTCTGTCTCTCTGCCTCTCTCTCTCTGTCTCTCTGTGGAAATAGCACCTGAAGTCCACTTACTGCTGAGCAGCAGGGATCCCATGGCAGGCAGCACAAGTGAATGGCTGCTAATTGAATGAGAGATGAAAAGGACAGTAGTTGTAACTGCTCCGTGTCCCCCGCCTACTACCAGGTTTTTCATCTGACTTTTTTACCCTTCACGTTTACAAAAGTCCTTCTCCACACTAAGAGACTCGCCCCTCAGACGTTTTAGCAAAATTGGTGCTGACTAAAGAAAATTGGCAAAATCTTCAGGAATGAAAATACTTGGCTGCAGCGTAGAGGTGAAAGCTTTGAGTAAAAATTAAGTTTGTTATGCACTGCCAGAAACATCCGGCTGAAAAAAAGTTTGGAGAGGTCAAGCAGCAAAACATACTGTACTGTACATATCCGTGGAGCTGGAAGGACATTACAGGACAGATGAGCAGCTTTGCCAGAAGGAAAAAAAAAAGAGGTTGGAACGGGAGTCATACTTCTTGGTGAGTACAATGTCTTAATTGAATTGCTTGTCGTGTGTTTAACAACACCACAGATGTGATTTTACATATTGAACTAATCAAGGAGATCATAAATAACCTCCGCCTTGTAACAGTATTATGATAGCATACCATCTCTTCTCAGAGTGTGTTTTTAAAGTGAACACAGACACATAATGTTGCAGTTGATCTCCTCAGTCAGTTCTCAGCAGGAGCCCTTGGCTGTGATCATACTGTCACTGACTGTAGGAGGAGTGTGTTGTTGTTGCCTGTACCAGGGAGCCTGCCAATCTCCTGGCACACAGAGAGAGACTGGCGCCTCTCCACGCATCAGCCTGGCAGCGCCCCGTGCTTACAAAATGGCCGATTCTTGTTTGCCAGCTGTCTCCTCAGCCAAGATGGCGCTCGGTCGCTTTTTTATGCCCGCTGTTTGCCATCTGCCCTCTAATTGTTAACGGCTATGCAAATATCATGTAATTGCATTTGCATGTGCTTGGTACTTAACCCCTCCCACTCGATTGTAAATAATAGCGCTATCGTAAAAAGGGAAAAAGGGATACACAATCCTGCGCGGCTGCTGATTGAATACACAGCAGGAACAATTAGCAAATGAATGTCGCCTGTCGCTGCCCTCCTCTTTACTGTTCTCTAAGCTCACCTTATGCAAATCACTGATGCCGTGCTTTTGATGCTAGCTGAAAAATGGAGCGTCACCCTGTCTTTCTCTCTGCGACTCATTCGGAGACGCTCATGTGTCTTCTCATTGTGTCACATGTGACATCTGTGGTTGGCTGCATTACAAGGGTACCCTGCCTCCTGTGACAGGCGAAGCCCACACTGTAAAGGAGAGCAGGGGCGAGGGAGAGGCATAACATAATGACCTCATTAGCATGCTCTGCACTCCCCGCTATAGGCCCTGGTGCGCTGCTGCGCCGTGGGACCCACCGGTGTACGCCCTTCTCACAGCACTCAGCATGCAACATTGTGTTCTCCCCACACAATGCGGCGCTTCATACAGGCTTTATTACGCCTTGTCAAAGCGCAGGGGGATCAGGGGTATCAGTGCAGAAGCAGCAGGATACAGGCTGTGTACGTGGAGCAGGAGATGTATTGGTTCTTTATGGTCTTAATGTGGTGTTAGCTGTGCTGATGAATCCTCTGTTATTGCTGTTGTGCTTTGACATGTGTGTTTATGTTTTTGTGTGTGTGTGTATTTGTGTGTGTGTTTGTGTGTTACTGATGTCTATAGTTTGTGAAATTGTCCGTTACATTGTGATCTCCCGTGGCATTCCTGGTCGTTTTCACCTGTCAGTGCTAATTATTTGAGGGAGCGAATTGTCCGTGTCCTGGATGTAGGCTCATCCACTCTGAAAACCTGCTGTATGCCTTGTGTTTTTAGTCTGTAGTGTAGCCTAACTTCACAGGGAGTGTGATGAACACACACACGCTGTCTCGAGAGAAGAGTCTATGACAAAAAGATAATATTTTAAAATATTTGCCTATGGTACATCAATTTACATGCAGGCGTTTTGTCCTTGAAAGCCTTGGGGGGATTTGGAAAATAAATTATCTTTTTAAGTTGTGTGGTAACCGCTGCTGTCATTTAGCAAACCACAAAAGGCTGGTTCACCCCTGTTATCTTCTTCTCTATCAGACTCAGGCAGTTGTAATCAAGCTTCTCTGTCTAATCAGCCCGTAGTGACACTGATGAGGCTGAGGTGGGGAGCAGGTTAGTGTCGAGTACCCGCGCTTACTGTAGTTAGTATAAGTAAGAAAGAGTTATTTTCGTAGATCAACAAGAAAAAGACGGTGAACAAAAATAAATAAAATCTGCAGAATTAACAATTTAACATGTGTGTTTAACATGCATTATTTGGAATGTGGAATGTGGTCACTATAGATACAGTTTTGTCTTGCTGTAGGGAGGACACAGTCTTTCCACGAATAAAGAGTAGTTTGTCTTCATGGGGGATTAACTAGGTGGAGCCCTTATAATCTTATTTGCATATTTTAATTGAAATGTGGACCATATGTTTTTTAGAGCGTATGCTAGTCGGCCACCCTAACTGTTCCATCCCCACTAATGCACACATACCGTATGAACACAGAAGCACACGCACTTGCATGCTAATCCATATCATGTGTGTATGAATGTATCCATTCACTCCTACTCTCAGGAAGAAAAGGACATGCACCCCAACACCATCTCCTGCAGAAAGCTTTTATGCTAATAACCGCTATAGACATGTGTGTTACTACGCGGCTGCAATTATGCATAATTCAACACAAAGAGAACCGGCAGGATGGCACAGTAGTCTTTAGGTGGACGTACTGCATGAATATAGTAGTGTGTGTGTGTGAATGTCAGAGTGACAGTATCCACTCTTTTCCATTTAGAATCCAAAGTCAGAAACACCACATATAGGATTCTTTCACATGCCTCCTATGCTTACCATTTGTTACTTAACCATTTAAACACATAGTTTTCTGTCCAAATTATGAATATTACTAAAAGAACAGAAACAACCCTTTGTTAGAGATACAATGTTATTATAAAATGATTGTAACATTATATACATCATTCGGTTAGAGTGAAATATGCGATCTCCCAACATAGAATAAACATTTGGAAATGGCCTTAACCATTGGAGCGTTTTATCAAATGATCCAAACCCGGCCTTTAAGCGTGTAATCACGTCCTCTCCGTGGAGCAGCATGGAAGTGGATTGTTCATTTGGATGTGTGATTGTGGAATGCTGCAGCTTTCCTCATTCAGACTGCCCACTGCTGCTTTTTATTTGCTTAGGTATTGATTAAATGTGTTCCACCCACTGAAGTAATAGTTGCTGAAAGCATTTACAGCCATCACTCAATTCATCTTGGCCAGATCCACGTCTTTCTTTCTTTGAGACAAATAAGTGATCGCTTTCTTCCTCCAAGCACTTGATCACTTAAATGAAAAGAAGACATTTGAATAGCTGTGTTTATATCTTTCTAAATATAGCACAAAGGGTAAACTCTCTAATTTGCATATTTTCCTTATTGGACGTTATCTTCGCAGTAACCTTTTGTTATATGGATGTAATGCCTCGATTAACATTTTATGTAGAAGCTTCCAAATAATCATAATAGTATTTTTAATTAATATTTTTCTTTTTTTAAAGGCTTATACTGTATATTTAAATATCTGTAATATACACTATAATTAACAATGCTACTTATTTTGCATTGAATTTAAGTCTTAACATTTTCCCATTATTTATAACACATTAAGTATTATGACATACACTCTGTCCAAAAGAGTCAATTTGTTAAAAAGATTGCCTGACCAATATTTATTTGAAACACAGCATATTTTCGAGCCTCTGTTTGTAATGACAATCGTTTTATTTTTCAAGACTTACTTGGCACATCAAAATAAATACAATTCATTGAAACTAAACCAAATTCCCTATGTGAAACTTTCCTCTTTACGAAGTGAATCCTGAGTCAAGTGTTGCTGCTGTTTCCTCAAAGCTGCTACACTGAGCCCCAAGTCTGATTATAGACTCAGGGAAAAACAGTCATGCATTTATCCAAGTCGCTGATTATGTCATTTCAACAGGCTGCAAACACTCAGGCGGCCTAGACAGCTCTGAGGGGAGAATTATGAAGCCGTAGTGGAATGGAGGCTGTATGAAAAGGAAATGAAAATGGAGTAGTGCTGTATATTTGATTAAACTGCCTGCTCGCCTGCAAAAGGCCACGCTGCTGTAGCACAGGCCTGAGATTTGGCCGTAATGAAAATGTGAAGGTGGAGGGGTTTGAACCCCCTCAATGACGTGTATGAGCTCACACACACACACACACACACACACACACACACACACACACACACACACACACACACACACACACACACACACACTCGCACATACATTATACGGCGTATGTATGTGCTCAGGCTGAATGGTTTATACGAGTGAACCATTGAGAGAGACTGCAGATGCAATTTGAGGCTTAAAGCAGCGAGGAATAATGTTGTGCGGAGTCAAAGAAAAGCCTCCCGAATTGAAAATAAAACATTGGGATTAATGTTTGGCAGGTAATTCATACAAACCACAGGAAATCCTGGGATTGTTGTTGCCCTTAGAAACAGACAGAAAAGGACCATGGCAGCCATATAAATATGAAATTGCACCATTCACATGCAGGGACAGCATCCCAGTCATCTAGCGTGGGAACGGGCTAAATGATTAGGGGATGAGGGGGCTGTGCGGCGGAGGGGATGCGGTTAGTTCATGGCTAGACGCCCCAGCTGCACTGACTTCCATTCAGAAACGGGTTAGGAGGGACCTCAGGGGTCAAGGTCAGGGGTGTGGGGGGTATCAGTGCTGCGCATAGTGTGTGTGTGTGTGTGTGTGTGTGTGTAGTGTGTGTATGTGTGTGTGTGGTTCATCTGCCGTTCATCCCCGGCTGGTTGGCTGACTATCGGTAAGCTGCCTCCGTGTTTGCTTATTTTATAAGCTGCTTCTTATTGCTTTGCTTCAGGGACAACTTGAGCTGAGAAGCAGGGGAACCCACCCCCCTTCTGTCAGCCTCTGGCCAGTCTCCAGCCGGCCCGGAGCCAAATCCAGCCAGAAATCAGTCCTGCAGCCCCCCCGTCAACCCCCTGGTCAAACAACCCCCAGTCAAACACAGTCAAACCCAGTCAGACACTTTGACAGCCCCCCTGTCTGTCTCAGTCTGCTGCCTCTTGTAATTTAACATGTCTGCTCGGGGTTCATCGTATGTGAACACCACAATCAGATATCTATGTCAGCCATTAAATGGACCTGTTTTAAAGGATTTTGTTGGATCCATAAAGAAATCATTTGAACTCATCACATTTTCAAATTCAAATAGATTTCTGATCTAATATATTTTACTGGATCTTACCCCGGGCTATTTGCTTATATTATATATTGCCTTGCCGTATGTTGCATTTCCTTGATGAAGCTGCCCATCAATAGCAATCCTCTTTA